AATCCCTGGAACTGGCTACATTGAATGCGGCTCCCGTCTTCAGGGCAGGGAGTGTTAGCTAAACAAAAATTACATCGGTGAGGGCACTGGGTACGATGGTGTTCAATATGACTGTAGCCCACATCGCAATGATCACAATAATAGGGGTTTCCTGTCACACCAGGCATACACAAAATAGCATCGTAATGCTGGTCGTTTAACAGGACATTCAAACAAGTTCCCTCTCCGTAGCCTTTGTAAACGGGCTCTAAACTGAGTTTAGAGGAGGTGGACTTGAACTGGAATATTTTCAATCGATAGCGAGGGGTTAACACTTGTTGTAATTTCCCCCATTCTTCGGGTCCACAGGGCTGATGGATATCACATCCGGCTTGTTCCATGAGAGCTATAGCTTCGTTTTTCTGGTCATTAGCTCTTACATCTCCTAACCTCATGCGTTTCCATCGTTTTTCCCATTCGGGGTCTGGATGTTCAGGTTTTTCACTGTGTAAATTGGTGACCACGATAGCTCTAGCTAAACAAAACTTATCCCAGGGATTGTCGATCTGAACGATGGATTTTTTATTCTTTTTAAAAATCTCCTTGTTCACCATCAGATGTTTAGTTTTGTCTCCACCACTCCCTTCTGGATACTTGACCCGAAACATGTTGAATTCCATGGCCTCGTCTCCCAGTTTAAAATCCTGCTTGGATTGTTGAACGGCTTCTATTTTGTTTAAAATGACGTCCTCGTTAAAATGTTTACATTGAGTAAACTCGTACCAAATTTCGGATTTCAGAGAAGGATGGCGTATGTTCAGGCGTAGGTAATCGTTAGGATTACACTGCATTTTATATTTGACATTTTGCAGCATGTCTCTAAATAATCGCCGAACAAATCCTCTGTTTTCCTCCTCTGGAAATTCCTTAAAATTCACACTGTAAAAATCTTCATGCGCTTTAACTTTTCTGGAATGCTTGGCTTGATTCAGTCTCACTTGATATTTGGAAATGGCCTTTGGCTTCTGGGGTGGTGAATGGGCTGGTGAGTATGGTTCTTCATCCGACACAGTCCTTTGTTGTTCTTGTTGGGCTTGGGCTCTCTGCGTTCTCTCTAATATTCTCGCATTTCTTTTTCTGAGTGCTAATTCTCTGTGTTTATTGTTGTAAATAATTCTTTCTAACTCTTTCGCCCGTCTTCTCCATCTCATCAGTTGCTGGGCATGTAACAGTTTTTTCATAGCAGAATCCATGTCGACAGTTGATGGAAATGACAACAGAATGAGCTTCAAGTCAGACACATGAAATATTTATACAGTGTATGACGTCATAATGCCTAGGTAGCTGTGATTTGAATCGCGGGTTTATCCAGATCTCTGACCTTGACCCTGGGGGGGGGGGTGCGCTGGGTTGACCCAGCCATCCCCCCCAGGGCCAAAAAGTGCACTCAGTTGACCCGGCCAGCTAGACGCCTTATACTACTATGCACACGCATCGCTATTAACTTTCCTTTTTCCCCTCAATAATCCTAAGTGATTTCACATGTGTGCAATCATTTCATAAAACGATAATGAAAATAATTTATGTATGTTTACCCTTCGTCTTTATTTAATTCGTGTTTAATATTACAGCACACTCTAAAATAATATTAAATATAAAGACTTTTGTTTAATTTTTTTTCCTACTCAAATGTTATAAACGTAATACATGTAAGTCATGTTTTAAAAAAGGCGTAAAATAACTTTCTATGCAGGCGTGCTGTTCATATACATGTACATGTATATATGCCAATGTAAATTGTAATTTATATCAGATAAAGACCACTAGAAAGTCATTTTAAAAAAAAAAAATATTATAACACTATATAGAGTATAAAATAATGCATAAAGTAAAATCGGATAAAAAACACGACGGTCGTCAAGATTTTCTCGGCATAAATCAAATATATTTTTTTAAATGTTAAACACGAAATAGATTTTTATTTTTTAAAGTTTTGTTTTTATTTATTTTTTTTATTTTTTATCTTATTTGTTTTAGTATAACAGAACATGGTGTATAAAAATTATATACAAAACGTCAAATAATAACGTATTGGATAAATAGCACTACGGGCGTTATAGGGATTAGCCATAGGCGAACTATATATAAAAATAATATTGATAAATTAAAAAAAATAATAAAAGAAATAATAATAATAAAGCACATGTTGATCTTTTCGGCAGGTTTATTTACTACTAACATACTTTTACAGTCATATTTCAGCACGTTCGACTTTGGAAAACAAAGACAACATTGTGTTTGTCACCTATTTATTCGTAAGGCATACTGTCACTCTTGTCACACTGTCAGCACCGTAATGACGACAACGCCTCCGTGTGACAAAGAGTGATAACTCCATAAAACTTGTAAAAAGGAATCGTGTATACCATAGATTTTAAATCCAATACTTCATTTTATCTTTACCAGTAAATAACTGTGGTGATCCAATGAATGTTTTTTGAAGTAGATTTTGAAAGATAAAAACCCGTGTAATAGATATATATCCACTGTATAACACATTTATCCTGTATAATGGGAAATTGAAGATTAACTGTGATTGATCACAGAAGTCCACAAACAATACAAATATGTGAAAAGGGCATAAAATACGGACCCTCGGAAATTAAAGGTGGGATCAGGTGTTAAGGTACAATCTAGCTATAACAATTAACTAGTGTATAATTTATGTTGCCTGTACAGCCAATATAACTGGTTTTAAATACATGTAACCTGTATACCAATATAACCAGTATATAATATATGTAATCTGTTTAACTGATATACACAGTATATAATACATGTAGCATGTACAACCGATATAACCATTTTAAATACATGTAACCTGCATATATACCAATATAACCAATATATAATACTTGAAACCTGTATAACTGATATACTCAGTAGATAATACAAGTAGCATGTACAACCAATGGTGGGACTTCATTTGTCAAACCGGCGTACGCCGAATGCGCCGCTTGACCTTTGCTAACCCGGCTTGTTACTTCATTTGACCGGGGAAGGTCCGCCGGTGTACGCCGATCTCGCCGGTCTGAAATGACCGGCGAGGAATTCGCCGGTCTTAGAAATATGGCGGGAAGATAAAACAACTTACAAAATGCAGATACTTTTTACCAATTCGGCATAATCTTTAATTGTTTGCATTTCTTGAACAAATCTCCATTCATATATTTAAAATCCGTTCTTATTTTCTAAAAATAATTTTTTTTCATGAGGTCCATGATTTTTTTTAACATTGAATTTCTAATTATCCAACCTTTTTTTCGCTAAGACATAACGTAAAAAGTTATAGATCTTAATTAATTGATTGTTATAAAGTATAATTATTTTTGGTTTTCGCCGGTTTACTTCATTTGCCAGTTAGCCGTTTTACGCCGATCATATGACCGGCGCAATTCGGCGTACGCCGATCTGTGACAAATGAAGTCGGCCCGATATACATGTAACCATTTTAAATATATGTAACGTGCATATATACCAATATATAATACATGTAACCTGTATAACCGATATACACAGTATATAATACATGTAGCACGTACAACCGATATAACCAGTTTTAAGTACATGTAAACCTGTATCACCAGTATATAATAATACAGGTAACCTGTATAACCCATTTAAAGGATCAGAAACTTCCGTATCAAGAATTCGAATTTAGCAACTTCAAAACGAAGTAGGTGATTACAGAAATTTCTATTGGAATGATTTAATTTTAGCAACTTCTATATCAGGTAGTTGATTTTATGCACTTCTGTAGCAAATTACTGATTTCAGCAACTTCCATATCAAATAGGCTGATAAAATCAGAATAGCGGCTACACGTAATCAACAATTTATTCAAATAAATAAAAGTAGTTAAAAATCTTTTCATTTGATAGATGTTTCAATTAAAATGATATTCTTCGGTGATCTAAAAAGCATTAAAACTGTTTGCAATATTTTCATCTATCTATGCAATTATAAACAGCCTTACTTTGCATTGTGAGTGCAAATGCACTTTCAGACCGTAATTATCAGTACAAGGGATGCATAAACAATTTTAACTTGGAGTATTTATTTCCATCTAAATAATTTATAAATACTGGAGTTATGTCCAGATTATTAGGAGAGTTTACAAAAGTTTATTTCTCAAACTTGGCAAAAGAGATTTATTCATTTCTTAACCATTTTGCTTCAAGAAGTTCGTTTTCTCGTTTATGATCACAATTTACTGTGTAACATGTAGTAGAATCGAGTTTGTGATAAATTATCTGCAGATCAGGCTTAATAGTATGTGTGATAAATAATCTACAGATCAGGCTTAAATGTGTGTGTGATAAATTATGTACGGATATGGCTTAATTGTGTGTAATAAATCATCTACATATCAGGCTTAATGGTGTGTGTGATAAATTATCCACAGATCAGGCTTAAATGTGTGTGTGATAAATTATCTACAGATCAGGCTTAATTGTGTGTAATAAATCATCTACAGATCAGGCTTAATGGTGTGTGTGATAAATTATCTACTGATCAGGCTTAATGGTGTGTGTTGGCGATAAATAATGAATATTCTGTTTTTCACTTTAATGTCCGAAAATCAACATGTGCACATAACGAATACACAACGTTGTTTTTTTTTTTTACAATCTATATTTTACACCCCGAACCCGAGCCCAAAAACAATGATAATATCAATTAATCTTCAGAACATTCTCCCCTCCTTGATTGCTAGCACATATCAACAAAATTACTTGATTTCGTTATGCATGATAGAAAATAATTCACATTTAAATGTCAAATACTGAAATACATTTAAAAAGTTCTTTTTACACAACACTTTTTAAAATGGTCCATCTAGTCACTAAATTCCAATGGACACAATTTGGTTATTGGGCGCGTAAATGACTTTGGTCCAACCTTAACCACTGCAATTCGCACATGCCCATCTTTGCCAGAATGAACGTCCAAAACACAACCTAGTTGCCAATGTCCCCCCGGTACATTAGGTTCAATGACAAGCACAATGTCACCTTTACATATATCTCTGCGAGTTTGAGTCCATTTTTACGCACATTCAATCCTGGTAACCACTCACGCATCCATCGGTGCCAGAAGTGTCGTACAAGCTCCTGTATTCTTCTCCAACGTTTCCGTGGGTTGAACTCTGTAGTGTCTACAGTTTCTGGTGCAAACTGACCTCTAACCTGCCCATGCAGGAAATGGTTTGGTGTCAATGGAACATCATCGTTAGGGTTTGCTGATTGGTAAGTTAAGGGTCTGGAATTGATCAACGCCTCAGCTCCCACAAACGCCGTCATGAGTTCTTCATCTGTAACATCTGCCGATCCGATCACTGCATAGATAGCTCTCTTTGCTGCTTTAATCATTATTTCATGGACTCCTCCAAAGTGAGGTGCAAGTGGCGGATTAAAGTGCCACATGACTCCAAGGTTTGCTGTAGACTGTTGAATTTTCCTGTGGTCCAATAAACCAACAAGTTCTATGAGTTCATTGTTGCCTCCGACAAAATTAGTTCCATTATCAGATATAACTTCTTTTGGTAGGCCTCTTCTGCTCACCATTCGGTAAAATGCGTTAAGGAATGAATCTGTGTCAAGTCCAAAGGCTATCTCCAGGTGCACTGCCCTTGACATCACACACGTAAAAAGACACAAGTATCTTTTCTCTCGTCGTTTTCCTCGTCCTTGTTTTGTAATAAAAGGTCCTCCGTAATCTACTGCAGTACGAGAAAATGCATGCAATGGTTGTTTGGTGCGAATTGATGGAAGAGGACCCATCAGTTGCTCTGCTGGTTTGGCCTTGTTGCGACAACATTTATTGCACTGTCGCTCCCATTTCCGAATTTCCTCTCTTGCGGATATTATCCAAAAACGTGACGAAATCATAGATAGAGTATGATCTGTTCCCGTTACATGTTTTCCTTTTTCATGGTAGTACTTGATGATGAGAGTTGTGACACAATTGTTTCGAGGAAGAATGATAGGATACCTGACATGATAAGGTAAGAATTCTGCATATTTCAATCGTCCATCACATCTCAAAAGTCCGTCTTCATCAATCACTGGGTTCAAACACAATAATTTGCTGTTATGTTGGAGAGGTTTGTTTTGTTTCAGTAATCTGTACTCACAATGAAATTCGCATTTCTGGGCAGTCCTAATGATTTGAGTTTCTGCCTCTTCAATTTCTTCTGCATTCAGTTCTCCTGGAAGTCTGTCCTTGATCTTCAGTCTGCAATTGTGTAGAAAGCGATTGACCCATGCTTGAACTCTAACAAGTTTTGTCCAGCTGGAATAAGTTTCAGGGTTTAAACAACACTGAATATCTTTACAGTCAACTGTTTGTGTCAAGAAGGAATATGAAAAATTGACAACTTCCTTGTTTGACTTCTTTTTCTCCATATAAGTGTCTTGCATTTCGATTTTCTGTTATGGCCAATGAGATTCATCCAGATGAAGATAGTGTGGTCCACTCCACCAGACGTCATCTTCTTGTAACTGTGAAACAGACACTACCCTGGAAATCATATCTGCAGGATTTAATTCAGTTGGCACGTAAAACCATTGCTTTGGATTTGGCGCCGACTGTATTTCTCCTATGCGATTTGCTACAAATGGCTTGAAACTTCTGCTGCGACCTTTGATCCAGCACAAAACATTCATGCTGTCAGTCCAAAATGAACACTGTTCAATGTCCAATTCTAAGGCAATTGCCACAGATAGAGTCAGTCTGGTTCCCAAAACTGCACCCATCAATTCCAATCTAGGTAACTATGCTTACTGCTGTAAGTGGTGCCACTTTGGATTTTGCTGTGACGAATCTCACCGACACACTTCCATCATGATAGATACATCTCTGATAAACTACAGCACCATATGCATCTTATGATGCATCAACAAAGGTATGTAGGTAAGTAGATACATTCACCATGACTCAGACGAAGACATCTCGGTACTGCAATAAGTGATAGCTCTGTTAATTCATTAAACCACTCCTCAGCTTTCGTTACAAGTCCATCACTTAAAGGGTCATCCCAATCAAGACCTGCGGTCCACACTTCTTGCAGTAGAATTTTAGCTCGTATTACATACGGTCCAAGAAAACCCAAAGGATCGAACAGCATTGCAATTTTCGTAGAAAGTTACGCTTTGTATAGTCAAAATCACCCTCGGGTGGACTTGCTTTGAAGGTAAAAATGTCATCTTTAGCTTTCCATAACTCTCCAAGGGTTTTCACTGATGGTAGGCTGTTATCATGCAGATCCACTTCAGGAACAACATCCTCTGGTGGAATATGCTGCAATACACTCACTGAATTTGACAACCACTTTCTGGCATACATACCAGCTTTTCTCCATAATGCTGATAACTATGAGTAGAGCTTAATCCCATCTTCCTCACTCGATACAGAATCCATACTGTCATCCATGTATGTGGATTTCAAAACAGTTTCTGCAGCCATGGGATAATTTTCTCTGTTTATCTCAGCATGTGTCTGTGCGACAAGCTGTACTTGAAATGGTGACGAATTTATCCCAAACACAACACTGCTAAATTCATACACATCCGGTCTCGCATCTAACATCATGTCATGCCACAAAAATCGCTGATAGGGTCTATCTTCCAGTGGAACCTTTATTCGAAGATACATTTCTGCAATGTCACACACTAGCGCCACACTGTTTCTTCTGAATCTAAGTAGTACATTAAAGAGCTCATTCTGAAGTTGAGGGCCACAATGAATCATGTCGTTTAGTGAAACACCATCATGCTTAGCTGATGCATCAAATACGATACGTGTCTTTGTTGTGGTCTTGTCTGGTCGAATGACAGGAAAATGTGGAAGATACCATGTCCCAGATTTCTCCTCATTGTGGTCAATTTTGTGTATGTTTCCTTTTTCCACATACCGTTCAATAGTGTTTGAGTATGAATCTCTCACTTCCTTGTTCCTCATCAATCGCTTTTCCGTGTTCTCCAATCTTTGGAGTGCCATGTCGTAATAATTTAGCAGAATCCATGCATCTTTCTTCCAAGGTATAGCGACTTCATAACGACCCTCTACAAACTTTAGAGACTCCTTCACTTTTGAGTACACAATTTGCTCCTCTGGACTAAACAACTGTTTCTTTGGTTCACTGAATCCTTCCATCTCCCAGAATTTACACAAAATTTTGTCTGTTTCATTTTCACTCCTCTGATTGTGGAGGAAGTAAGTTCTGTTATAATGAGTCTGAACACATATCTCACTGCCACCATAAATTTTCCCCACACAAGTCCATCCTAATGGAGTAAGCCTAGCTACTGGTTCATTAGGTCGAACTCTGATTTCTCGATAAGCATAATGAAGTTCGCTGTTGTCCATTCCAATTAGTATGTCCACAAGTGGATGTTTACCTATGACTGGGAATTTAAGTCCTTTCAGATGATTCCACTTGTGCTGATACTCTTTCCAATTTACTACACACATATCACCAGTAACTTTGTCTGCTGTTAAGGCTTCCACTTTGGTTTTAATCTTGCCATCAATGCTTTCTATTTGGAATTCTACAGGCATGGTTTCAAATGACTCAGTTTTGTTATTTAGAACTCCGACTGTCACTCTTTGCAATTTACCATGTAAGCCTAATTCTGCTGCAACATCTGAGTTGATGTATGTTCGCGTACTAGCATCATCAAGCAATGCATTAATTCTCACTGTCTTTGACCCATTTCTCACAATAACTGAAATGGTTCTCAATGCAATGAACTGTGGCTCCCCTCCATGACATGTTAAAGTTCTGTCTTGATTCACCAATCTCTGGGTATCAACATTATTGTTTACAACAGAATTAACTGAGGGGTTCTGTCTCTGAGTGTCTTTAGGTGGGCAAAATTCTGGAGCATTTCGGTTCAACACTGATGCAGACTGGACATGTTGATACCTGTTTGCACTCTGGTTTATATTTTGATTTCCAATGTGTAGTAGTCTATGATGCGTTTCAGAACAATTGTCAATACTGCAGGGTCGACTCCTACATGAACTTCCAAAATGACTTTACCCCAAACAACGCTAACACAACTTTGGCTGACGAACAAAATTCCATTTTTGAGACACATCAAGTTTTTTAAACTGCTCACATGACCAGATACCATGTTGTCCTTGACACATCTTACACACTTTTGGTAAGTTCTTAGTGTTTCCAAAGAATGCTCTTCGATGTATACGATTACTGACACACTTTTTTCCATCCAAATTATTGTTTGAATCCACATGTAAACCATACACAGTTTCATTCGCAACAGTTCGGAATTCAGATTCCTGGATAATCCACTCTCTTAGAATCTCCACTGACTCTGTCTTTTGCTTTTCGAACACCCATCTGTGATATGTAGATAACATTGTCTCTGGAATATTCTTTTGTAGTTTGACATACAAAGAACCATTTTTAAGTTCATCTGTCCTTCCTGCCTTCTTGAGGTTGACAACAGCCACATCCAGTATGTCTGCAAATTTCTCGACGTCATTCGAATTCCCAGCCCGAATTGGTCGAAACAAGTCTAACTGTTCTAGGTGACGCATAACTTGTCGTCTCTGGCCTCCAAACTTTCGGTCAAGGCGATCCTTTGCTGCTTCATAAGAAAATGCAGAGTGTCCAAGGTGTTCTACAGCCTTCAGAGCCTCACCAGATAGATATTGTCTCAGCTGTAATAATTTATACTCTGGAGTTGCTGGAGCTTTGTCTAAGGCTGCTTTCCAACTTTCATATGTACGTTTGTCACCAGAAATTACAGCCACTGACACTCTTTACAATTGTTTCCACATGTCATTACCAATTGCAGGCTGATTTATGGAATTGTTACTAGTCTGTTTCCCAGTTGAAAATGGCTTATATACATTTTTATCATTATCCATACCTACATTGATGATACTATCTGTTTCCGGATTGTCAGTGTCATGGTAACCAACACTCTCTTCCTCTTGCATCCTCTGCACTTCATTTTCAGCTTGCTCGAGTTCTTTGTATCCTTCTTGAATGGTTTCGTTTAATTGTTCTAATTGTTCTCGCTTTGCTTTAAATTCTTCCTCTAAAATTCTTTTAGCTTCTTCAACCTTCTGCACCTCCTCCCGAATAGTGTCCGCTCTTTTTCTAGCTTGGATTTCCTCTTCATTTAAGAGGTTTGAGCTGCCTCGTAGAGACCCTGTGTTAATGCTTGATGCCTCGCTTCGCCGTGCATCTAAATAGTCCTGTACTCTTTTCTATAAGCTCAATTTCTTGATTTGTTTGTGTCACTTGCCTTTTTGTATTCTGCAGAGAGGGACAGTAAATTCATGACAGGTTCCTGTAAATCAATCAACTTTTGCCTCGCTGTACGAAGTTCTCTGCGACTAGGTAAATCTTGATCCAATAAATTTAATAAATGGTGTTTAGCTCGAGTTAACTGTGACTTAGCTTTTGCCTTCTCACGTTTTATATCGTCCAGGTCTGGTTTTCCCTCCGATGCTTCAGCGACGTCTCGAGTCAACTCTACTTTCGTTTTCTCCCGTTTCATTTCTTCGAAGTTTGTTTTTTCGTCCTTCTTGAATTGTGCTCCTGAGGTTTCCGACACGTTTTCTTCTTCCTGTTTGTTTGCCATAGCCACGCTCTGCTACCATTTATTGGCGATAAAAAATGAATATTCTGTTTTTCACTTTAATGTCCGAACATCAACATGTGCACATAACGAATACACAACGTTTTTTTTTTTTACAATCTATATTTTACACCCCGAACCCGAGCCCAAAAACAATGATAATATCAATTAATCTTCAGAACAGTGTGTGTGATAAAATATCTACAGATCAGGCTTAAAAGTGTGTGTGATAAATTATATACGGATCAGGCTTAAATGTGTGTGTGATAAATTATCAACATAATAGGCTTAATGGTGTGTGTTTTAAATTATCTATATATCAGGCTTATTGGTATGTGTGTTAAAGTATCTACGGATCAGACTTAATTGTGTGTGTGATAAATTATCCACAGATAAGGCTTAATTGTGTGTATGATAAATTATCTACAGATGAGGCTTAATTGTGTGTGTGATAAATTATCTACGGATCAGGCTTAATATTGTGTGTGATAAAATATTTACGGATCAGGCTTAATGGTGTGTGTGATAAATTATCTATAGATCAGGCATAATGGTGTGTGTGATAAAATATCTACAGATCAGGCTAAAACGTGTGTGTGATAAATTATCTATAGATCAGGCTTAATGGTGTGTGTGATAAAATATCTACAGATCAGGCTAAAACGTGTGTGTGATAAATTATCTACAGATCAGGCTAAATAGTGTATGTGATAAATTATCTACAGATCAGGCTTAATTGTCGATATTTGTCGGTTATTTCCCCTAACTAACACATAGGTGGCGCACTGCTCGTTAACGTTCAAGCTTACTTCCGGTTTCTTTAATATCATAAACAAGAAGTTGTAGAAACGAGCATTTAAGCTGAAATGCCGTCTTGTTGTTGTGTGCCGGGGTGATCAACTCGCGGGGGACTCAGCTTTCCTAAAGATCCGGCATTGAAAAAGCTGTGGATTATTGCCATTAAAAGAAATAGTTTTTTAAATAAGCACAAGTTATTGTCCCCACATCCACGGAGCGTAGTGTATCATTTGCATTTCAAGGACGAGGACTTCGTTACAGAAACTAGATACGGTGGGTTGATTTTATGTCTGTTATAAAAGAGATTTTTATTGCTTCTTAAGGAAGCGATTGCAAGGGTCCATGAAAAAAATCCGCTCAATGAATTTTTCTCATTTTTACATACAATTTGCCTTACGTTAATGGTATCATAATATTAAAATTTCAACCATGGTCATCAGGGTAATAAGGATGATATGGTTGCCATGGTAACCGGAGTTTTTCAATATTTTGATATTTATGAGGTGAAATTTTATATATCCTACACAGGTATCAAAATTGAAACAAAATTTAAAAAAATCCACTTCATTTTAAATAATATGCTTTATATTCAATGAAAATAAAAATTGTATCGGAAACTATCGATAGATGTAGTAATACCACCGCGGCTTTGGGGAGTATTCATTGTAAATTTGCAGTAATATTTTCACCTCAAGAGCAGTCTCAACGTCTTGACAAAAAATTACCAAATGAATTTTCCAAAAACTAATATATTTTGTACATATTATTATAAGTGACCTATGGTTAAAATATGAAGTAAGGTCATCACATTCACTTTGAAGCTATATGCATTTCAATACCCCCCCCCCCTTCCTAAAATATTATAAGATTTCATAAATTTTCGTATGATGGTTTGCTGATGAACCTTAAATATGTATAGTCTGTTAAAAGACTAAAGAAAAAACAATATGTATAGATTAATAAATACTTTTTTTTCTGAAAATCTTGCGTTTATTGCTCATTTTATATGTAAATCAGAATAACAAAAGTAAAAAAAATAAAATCATGAACTCCAAAAAATAACAACATGCACATTTGTTTTTTTTTTAATTTTTCCGTTTCCAAAGCATTCATTCCGTTATTATATCTATATATTCTAAACCAGTACACAGTGGTCCAAGAGGCAAATTGTTCATGCTGAACAAACATCGAGGTCTCTGCACTGTGACCTGGAATGGGGGGGGGGGGGGTGTAGACACCTGTCTGAACATATTGAATGAATAGGGGTTATTTCATAGAGCTTGTATCTGCAATAAATACATTGTATATAAAACTCCTAATATCTTATTTGGCAAAAAATAGTGATTTGCTATTTAATATTTACATCTACAAATATTTTTCCTTCATATTCTTCGCATCATTTTCTCATGAACTAGGTACATGAGAACATGAGGGAGCAAGAACATCTCCATTGTGACGTCATAATTCCACACTTGACGTCAAAACTAGAAGCTTTAGTTTCAAAAATAAATTGTTGAATGACATAAATATGCGTCGCTTCGTGCTTATGGGCTTCATAAAATATGGCGGCGTGAAGCGTCTTTGTTCATGTCCTCGTGAATTTTCAAAAATTATTATTTTAAAAATTATTTTTTGCTAGATTTGTGAAAACTTGTAAAAAGAAACTTTTTTTTCTGTCAGAAGAAATGTGTACAGTTTCAATTTTTGACAAAATACGACGCATAAAACATTTTACAACAAAATGTTTACACAATATATGCACCAATGATTCAATGTTTACATGGCCGATGTAAGTGTTGAAAATGCTAAAGAAGATCTTGTACAGGAAAACAAATTTCCTCTGCAATATTAAAAAAAAAAAGATGTTCATGTCCAGCATGCAACCTCAAACTAGTCTATAACGTATATATCAAAATCGCATTCGTTCATCTGTTCATCCATATTCATTAATCACTGAGAAAATAACGCCGTCTGAAGCTTCTAGGAAATGGATATATACGTTGATGTAGATCCAATAGTTCATTCTAATATTTCAATTGATTAAAACAAGAGGACATAAAGATCCAGATATAAATTCAATTTATTAATGAAATAGCGCAGTACAGTTAAGGTGCCTAATGGAAATATCGGCGATTTTTTTTGCCAGAAAATACATTCTTTACAAGGATGGGCGATTCCTTTTAGGCCTTTACTATTATCGGACAAATGTAATGTGGCTGAAAACTACATGTTGAGGACGTTTATATTTCTTATTTAGATTTGTCACGTAATGTGGCAGTCACGTGATTTTAGCAAATCTACCTGCAGTATTGAGGTCATCTATAAATTCCAATATTGCAAGGGCATGACCATGTTAAAAATCTAAGTTTAATTTATAATTATTTTCAACACTCTTTGTAGTTTGTGAAAAGTGCTGCGAACCTATATAGATTCTAAAATATAATCGCTGAAATTGCATTTGTTAGACCGTATGTTGAATATTTTGCTGGTCAAGTACATTAAATGTAGATATAGTTAATTCATTTGCAAGATTTCATCAGGTTCGCAGCACTCTTCAAATATCTTCATATCTCATGAGTCTATGTGTAAAAGCTTGTCGTAATTCATTGAGGGTATGCCCTTGCAATATATCGATTTATTACGACCCTTCTAATGCCCTTCAATGAATCTGCATGTAAATGTACGGCAGTTTCACTTGTCTAGGGAATGTACGGGAAGTATATGAATAAAATCATAAAAGAGACATCGCATCCAAGTTAATGGTCTCTTTTATATCTGCAAATAATATTTTATTTAATTACAAAGCACATTTTTCATTGTATAAAAATATAACTTGATCCGCCTCTCACTGCATACAAACTGCGTCAAATTTTACGACATGGCGTCAAATTGACAAGTGCACTGCGATCAGTGAATTGGCGGATCGCGGGTTTTGATTGACAGGGTCACGTGAGCCAATGAAATAGCACCGATTAATATCCAAAGACGCGCCGCCATTTTGCCCGACAAGTTGTAGATTATTGTCGGACTTCAACGATTTCGATCATGGTAAAACGCTGTAGCTGGGGTACATGTAACACTGACAGTAGGTACCCCGATCGCCTTGTAGGAGGAATAAGATTTATTCCCTTTCCTAAACCAGGACGGAACTTAGAAAAAGCGAGGAGGTGGATAAGATTGTGTGGCAGACCCCACAACCAGTTAAATGAAAAGATCTTAAACGAAAGAAGTAAAGCTAAACATCTTTATGTTTGTTCAAAGGTAAATTTGAAAACACACATTAAATTATCTCTATATTTATGTGATCGTGCATATAACTGGTATCACAGTATATGAATCGGCAGTTTTATCAATAGCGACAGGCTCGCTACGCTCGCGAAGCTCACATGTTATTGTTTACGTTGTACTGCCGACTCCTGTGATCACACACAGGAGTCAAGACAGTTTATTAGGGACGTATATACCTGTATATACATTATAATGTACATGTAGGTCCCTGGTTTTATCAGTAAACAATGTAAACAACTTGCAGCTCAACGGTTGTGATTTATCATGCATATTGATAAAACTGCCGACTTCTGTGTAAAGATGTCATTACGTAAGTTACATGTAAGGCTATTATTATAAGTTATAAGAGAGTAGGATATGGCATGAATCTGAACACATGCATACAGAAAAGCTCTCCCCAGGCCATCATTAAAAATATCTTCGTTTCCCCTAACCCGACCCTAAAATTTCAAGTTGGGTAGGTTGGTAGGTAAATTATTTTTTTTTCTGACAGCAGTTTTGGAAATACATTCTGAAAAATTAAATGACATCTTTATAAATAAGAAAGAACAAAAGAAACCAACATTTTAACCGAATATCATACAAATGAAATTTAAAAGCAACATGTGTGGTAAATTAATTCACAAATATTATTCATTTGAACTTGTGAAATATCTCAGGTCAGCATAAATTTATTGAAATTGAATTTTTACAAAAAGACAAGATTCGCAAATACTCAACCATCTGCCATCCGAGTATATTTTTTCGAACCTACGATCATCTTCGAGTGCTTACACAGACAAAATGTCAAGGGTCTGGCGCAGTAATTGTAGAGTTTCGTTTTGGAGTCAAGACGTAAATCAGGAGCTTTTTTTCTAAGTCACATGTCCCGACGAGGGACGTGGAGACTGGTCAGTAGAATGATACCGTAAAAAAAGGTAGTTCCATGCAGTGTTGCAGTATACATGTAGATGTTGGCACGGAAAAGATCCCTTAATGATACTTCATGATCAATGGCCATAAGTGCCGAGAAAAAGTCTAAATTAGGAGCCCTCCAACAGGCAGGTGTTCAAATGTTGTCGATCCAACAATTTTTAAAGGTATTTTAAAGCAAAGAAACAACCTATTTTCAAGGGCCTAACTAAAGTAAAATACACTGGACGTCTCAGGAAGCCGTACCATAAGCCAATTTTAAAGATTTCAACACTATTTGAAAAGAGTGTACATGTACCTGTATAAACAATATTTAATTCAACCAAACCTTATCTAAAATGATTAAAGTTTCATATATCTAATGCTATAGTCACGAAGCTTACCCCATAGATAAAAGAAATGAAGAAACGACATCTGAATTATATTCATCAAGATAAAATAATTATACAAAGACATATTTACAACTCCTATGGTCCTATATTGTAAAAAATAGAATCATACATGAAGTGATAATTAGATCAAACGAATGAAATGCAGTGAAATTTATTGATATGCATCAGTGCAAACACAAAGTGGGCCCCTCATTTGCTCATGAGACAGGCTTTTCCATGCTTACTACGTACGTTAATTTTAGAAGACACATTTGCAAATACCATCTTAACACTCCTTAGTCATGGTATATTTAATTCACAAAATGTTTCAAGAGTTTAGGATTCTAATAAGTTAAAGATATATATTAAGACTGATACATCGCCGTTGTTTTATAACACGAACTAACCCTGTGTGGCCACATGTTGTGGGCGCCAAATGAGAGTAAAACAAAAGCCACCGTTCTGATAAAAACGGATTTTGATGAAATTGTATTTTATAAAGTTGATAAACAATAAAAAAAAATATTTGAACAATTTTATTAAAAAAAAATTTTCAGTCGGCACGATTTAAGTGTGTCGGTCGCGTTAGGGGAAACAAAGGTACTTTTTATTTTGGCCCCAGCTTATTTGTGTGCGTGTATATATATATATATATATATATATATATATATATATATATATATATATATATATATATATATATAACCGAATCCGCACCGTTGGCGCCCTAGCTTTAGAGAATGATCCTCACTTAGCGGCATGCGATATTTAGCGGCATAAAATCGTATGCCGCTAAGTGCGTGCGCGTTTTTTAAATTGCTCTATCTCTCTTAATAGGACAGGTAAGGCAATGAAACTTTCTCTGTTATAATAACTAATCTTTTGTAGATGAAATAAGTGCCAGAAAAATATTGAATACTCAGTAAATAACTTATTTTGATCGATTTTGTGAAGGTACCCTATTTTGTAGTATATATAATTTTCGTCATAATTCTCATTTTGAGGCATACTGCGTTTTTTTGGCGTTTTCTCTCTTAAGTGTGATGTATATCATTCTGAAATTTTGATCATAGCCGTATAGGAATGAAATGCATCATATGTGATTGTTTCATAGGCAAGCATTCTTGAAATCGAATGCAATAAACGTTTATGTAAAATCTTATGCTCAGTTTTGCAGTTCAGCGCATTATATATCCTATAGGATACTACGCATGTCTGACCTAAAAACGGTATCAAAAGAAAATGGCGAATGGAATGTTTTGGTTTGCTTCGATTCTTAGACAAAATGAAAACGAATATGTTCCGCTGATTAAAGCAATATCTCATAGCAGATGGTTTGAACGTTATTGATTAGAGGAGTTTTCAGGGGCCACTGAGGATGTGATATTTAAAAACATATGTGGTATTTGAAATATTTTTGTTTTCTTTCGGTAAGCAGTAATTCAACCAGTGGATTATCATGATACTATATCTTCAAATATTTGAAGAAGGCATGTTTCTTAAGTCGTGTCGAATTTCTGTGTAGTTCCTGTTTATCTAACGGAACATCGGTTTATGAATACACGTGTTTTGCAGCTAAGACATTTTTCCCAGCCGTCGTTGTTTGTTAGCGGAGATGGAAAAAAATTAACGAATATCTTCATACTAGCTGGATTTCTTAAATCGACGAATGATTTTAAAATGTGTCGTAAACTTTATTATGAAAAAAACAACGTAACAAATGAGTACCATTATATTTATTCATTCGTACTTTAAAGAAAAATATTCAGTGTTCTCACACATGACCATGTAGCATTTTATGAGTTACCAAGGAGAAAATGGCATAAAAATGCAAGGATTTCAAACAGGAATATTTTTAATCCCTGTTGAGGTACGTGGGATTTATTTTTTTTTAATTTGAATTCAATTAGTTTTGAAAACAAATAACAATGATTTTTATTGATTATGTATCTATATAAATAAATATGAATTCGAAAATGGCAATAAATAAATGACCAATAAAATCCAGTTAACCAAAAGTCAAGGAACTTAATGAGTTAATTTACATCACTATATTAATCATTATCAAATCATTATCAAACATGCATTTCCATTTAAAATGCTGAAAATTACTCCATTTTTTTCTTTAATCTTATGATGTTAAACAAAAATCTTGAGAAATTGATATTTTATGTTACATTATGGTAACATTAATTTTTGTTATTGTTTTCTGTTTTTGTTTTGATAATTATTAAAATTATGTCATTTTGAAGCCATAAATTAATTTTTTATCTGTTTCAGGAAAAAAATGTTGTTGTAAATTAATATCTATTGATTTTAGATTATAAAATAAAAATTGTTTTACTTGCAAATAATTGGTATAATTTAATTATTCATCTGCATATGTATCAGGTAGAAAGGCTTTTAAGAGACTTTACAATTATATTTTTCCTGATCAAGTGCATGTTCACTTACAAAAAAAAGATAAAGCGTTTATAAATACTGTAATAGGGATAGACTTCTAAGGCTGTCAAATAAGCCTTCAAACAACGCAAGTTTTTAAAAATCAAAATTCATTTAGAATGGATTGAACAAAAAAAATGTAGATCTTATGTACCCATGTTTTTTACAACTCACTTTAACTACTATAGTTCTTTATAGGCTTCTTACTCAAAATATAGTCTAATCCACTCTCGACTGTTTACAATTCAAGCTTTGAACTTGCTGACCTTTTCAGAGTTACCCCCTCTTTGACCAGAAATATCAATCAATAAAAAGTTCTTTTTATAAATAAAAAAATTCAATAAAAGTTTTGATACAAAAAATGATATGTCATTGACAACACATCAGTAATATCGGGGAGAGAGAGAGAGAGAGAGAGAGAGAGAGAGAGAGAGAGAGAGAGAGAGAGAGAGAGAGAGAGTTTCTTTTTTTCTCTCCACAGTTCTCCGAAATCGTTCTTTTGAATAGGGATAGTTTTGATCTGTTTTTTTTTCTATTTTTATTTTTCTAGATTATTTCTTTTTTAAAGCTTTTTGAAGATATAAAAAAAAAATCAAAGAAATAATTAACATCGAAAATAGGGGAGGGATAAATATGAAAATATTCAAAAATTAATTATAAATTTTTGTGACAAAGGAAATGATTGTTTTTGTATTAAAAAAACATTTATATACATTTGATAGCAAATAAATTGCCTGTTTATAAATCCTTAATCTTATCATAAAAAAATCTTTTTATGTGTCTTAAGGGGTATAGTATTTTAAATAAATGTTAGAGGCATGAAACATCTGGAAAATTTCAACAAGTTCAGTTACACGCCCTAGAATCTCATCCTTTTTTTGTAAGTGAACATGCACTTGAGGAAAAAAAATGTGGAAAATATTTCAAAGGTAGGTATATAATTAAAATTAAATGTGCTCATCAGAATAGAATCACGTGTAATTTTGATTAAGATTGAATCAATCTATCGTCATGAAGTGCATATGCCTGAATGTTATATAATCTCATTTAATTGTGGATGTACTGTGTTTTTTATCATATGAGAGTGAAATTATTAATTCAATTTTATTGCCCAAGACGATCAACAGTAAAAATATATTTATACACATATATATTTAGTTTATGTTTTCATTATACTTTTAGATTCATCAAAGTATTGAGAATAAAACCTACATAATACATAAATCACCTTTAAGAATGCATGCAGAC